GCATGTTTTTGTGTGCTGCCACAAGAATGTCCAAGCTTGAATTAGAGCAATGAGTAAGCATTAAATTTCTTGATAAACTTGGAAAGAGTAGAGATAAAATTAGGGACAAGTTAGTCCAAGTTTATGGGAATAATGTCATGAAGAAAATGGCAGTGTTCAAATGGATTAAACATTTTTTTGAGAGAAGAGAAAGTATCAGTGATGAAGAGAGGTCAGGATGGCCAGCAATGAGCAAAACTAGTGAAAATATTACAAAATTTTGTCACATTGTATGTCAAAATTTTCAGCTGACTGTGAGAAGCATAGTAGACCAAATAAACATTGACAGAGAAACAGACAAACAGGGAAATCTTAACTGAAAATCTTGGCATGAAAAAGCTGTGTGCAAAAATGGTCCTGAAAGAGCTCGTGCAACACGACAACGCACCAGCCCACACAACACTGTTTGTGAGGGAGTTTTTAGCCAGTAAACAAATAACTGTATTGGAACACCCTTCTTACTCACCTGATCTGAGCCCCAATGACTTTTTTCTTTACCCAGAGATTGAGGAAATATTGAAAAGAAGACATTTTGATGACATTCAGGACATCAAGGGTAATACAATGACAGTTCTGATGGCCATTCCAGACAAAGTTCTAAAATTGCTTTAATGGGTGGACTAGGTGCTCACATCTCCTGGATTCCCAAGGGAAGTACTTCAAAGGTGACTGTAGTGATATTTAGCAATGAGGTATGTAGTGCTTTTTCTAGTATGAGTTCGTGAACTTAGCTGTCAGATCTCACATGTGTGAAGTGCTTAGAACAGGACCTGGCACAAGGTAAGCAAGCACTCAGTCAAGGTTAACTATTTGTATTGCTGCTGTAATTTATTAGACGGTCCCCTATGGATTTACATGAAACTGTTTTCAGTTTTTCACCACTAGAGATAATGCTGCAGTGAAAATCCTTGGGTTTTTTTCTCTGCACATTTGAGCGGGTATTTCTGTTGGCCAAGGTCCTAGAGTTGAAATTTCTGGGCTGAAGTATGTGTCCAACTCAGTTGCCTTCTGAAATGTATGGCCTGACACCCAAGTCACATCCGGGAAAGTGTGCCTCCTGCAGCCTTCCCCAACACTGAGTGTTATTGTTCCTACTGTCCAGTTTTCCAGTGTGGGGGGAAATGACAGCTCATGGTTGGCACTTCTCTTCCTTTGTGAGCTTACCCACCACCATACTACATACTTACTGAGTGTTTGTCTTTACTCTTCTGTCCTTTGACTAATTTCTCTTACTAGGTTTTCAGACTTATCTGTCTGAAGAATTGTATGCCATGCAAAGGGCACTAACCATCAACTGCCAGTCTGTGAGTTGTCCACTGGGACACGGCATCATGTGGAGTCCTCAATTTCAAGTGCCCTGCATTCTGAAGGAAGGAGCTCCCAGCTGTGCCTGCATAATGCCGTCCCACTGCTCTGTCAGACCAGCTGCTCTGAGGGGTACCAGCGCAATGTGACCATGGGTTCCAGGTCATGTGCTCATTCCTAGAGTCCCTTTACTTTACTGTAAATTGGTCTAATGTGACATTACATGGGACTTTGCGATGGTGGATTTGATACCGTGTCAGCCCTCAGATCTGTGGTGATGGTTAAGGCCCAGTAGGCAGGAAAGACAAACCTTTACCCAGAAAATGTATCTATGAGGGGGGACTCAAAAAACCCCAATTTATTTATTTTTTAATTGTGTACTTATTCTTACATGCTTCAACTTTAGTTGCCTTCAAAGTACTCTCCGTTTGATGCAACACACCTCTCGAGACGCTTTTTCACTACTCAAAACAGTTTTTGAACTCGTACATTTTGATGCCTTTTAGTGCTTCTGCTGTGTTTTATTTTCTCTTCTTTTACATTAGCAAAGCATTTCTTTGAGGACTTTATTTCATCGGGGGAAACAAACAAACAAAAATGTCACTCCGGGAGACATTGAGTGACTAGGAAGGGTGGGACACAGGAGACATGCCATTTTGGGTCAAAAACTGCTAAAAACTCAGCATAGTGTAGGCAGGTGTGCTCATAAACCACCCATTATGAAATGGACAAACAAATGGAAAGAATCGCCAAAAAAAAATCAACAAAAACCAAAAACTGAAGCAGAATGCAGCCTCTCACAACAATGCTAGCAGCTTCTCACATGGATGCCGACAGGTTCCTAGAACACTTACCTAGCGGGAGAAACTTGTACTACATGGGGTCCACCCCCCAAAAGATGTTTTATTTTTGGGGGAGTCCCCCTGTATTTCTGTTAACATGCATCACTGCTCCTTCCAAGATGGAAAGGGTTCGGTGTCATCCGCTTGACACCAAATGGCCAGTTGGTCTCCTGGAAGGATGGTGCCACGTTGAAGCCTGGCTTTGGTTAGTGTTGAAGACAGACTGGACATTCGCAGCAGCTAATGGTAAGTGGGGACCCACGCTATTGGGCTGTCACATGACCTCCATCCCTGCCACCATTTGTGTTGACACTGGGGTGACTAATGACAGAGACTGGCTAATGTCAAATGACCATGTTTTGCCCACGTGGTTGTCAGCAAATCTTTAGGGGGGAGCTTTCTGCTGGGTGTTATCCTGTGATATAAAAATCTTCACTGACTGGGCAGCAGTGGCTCACACCTGTCATCCTAGCAATTTTGGAGGCTGAGGCAGGTGGATTACTTGAGCCCAGGAGTTCGAGACCAACCTGGACAACATAGTGAGATCTTGTCTCTATAAAAAACTTGTAAAAATTTGCTGGGCCTGATAGTACACCTGTAGTCCCAGCTACTCAGGAGACCGAGGCAGAAGGATTGCCTGAGCCCAGGGGGTTGAGGTTGTGGTGAACCATGATTATGCCACTATATACCAGTCTGGACAACAGAGTGAGACTTTGACAAAAACCAAACAAATAAAAAACACCCTCCATGGTTGTGTCCGCTTCCAAATGTCCATTTGTGCTATATTGTCCCCAGCCTTGCAATCTTCTCCTCCCAGGGTCCTGATCAGCTGGCCTAACCATTTGCGACTCTGTGTGTATTCCAAGCATGGGCCCCTTCTGTCTTCCACCTCAGGTGAGTAACCAGGAGCATGTCCCAAAGCTCTGCCCAATGGGAAAACCCTCCCTCTCCACCTCTTAGAGTGAGGATAGTGTGGACACTGTGCATCTCTGGTGGTACCCACATGGCAGTCAGCCCACCTGTGAACCCAGCTCCGACTTTTCCCTTCTCCATCAGCTTGGGCCCTCCACTCTGTGCGGGAGTTCTCGCTGTGAAGAGGGAGAGGCACTGGGACAACAGGAGTGGGTAACTTGGTCTGGATTACTTGGTCCTACAGCTTGTTGGCTTATGGTTCTGGAAGTTCTGCTTCCATCTTGCCTCATTGCTTCTGGGCTTTCGTGACCTGATGACTTGCATCTTAACACAATCCTCCAGTGACTTTTGCATGTAACTCCAGAGTGACGCTATATGGTAGCAGTCAGATCAAAGAAGGGGTGGAAGTGACTGCACTTTCCAGGCCCAGGATACAGGTAAAGGCCCTAGAGTGAAAGACAGATGGGAAATCCAGATGGCAGAACAGTGGGGACCATGAGACAAAGCTGGAGGGATAGGCAGGGGCTAGATCACACAGGACACACATACTGTCTCAGAGATTTGGGACTTTATCCCGGTGAGATGAACAGGAAGCCATTGAATGACTTTAAGCAAGGGGGTAACATGGTCATGTGGTGTGTGCATGTGTGTGTGCCCATACATTCATATATGTTTTTGGCTTCAACGTGGAGAATGGTCTGGAAAGGAAGCAAAATGAATGTAGGGAAATCAGGAGGGAACTATGCAGTAGTCAGAGGAGAAGCGAAGGTAGCTTGGAATAACGTAGAGGTTATGGAAATAAAGGGGTAGACAGGCAGACTCAGGAACTGTCTCCAAGGGGCACGGGAAGGACTTGGTGTCTGAATTGCTGTGGCACAAGGCGACTGGAGCAGTGGGAATCATTCCTCTGTTTCTGTCTTAGCAACCTGTGCATGGCTGCATGCACAAGATCTGTTTGGGATACATGAAGTCTGAGGTGCTTTTGAGACATCCAAGTGGCAGCAGAAAGCAAGAGTTGAGTCTACAGAATCAGGGCTGGAGCAAGAGAGTTGTCCCCAGCCATGGGAGTAAAGAAGGCCACTGCTAGGGTGAGACAATGAGACCATCCTTTGGGAATTCTGACACTTGTAGAGGTGGGCCAGAGTGGCAGGACTTAGCAAAGGGACAAGAAGGAAGTTCCTGCCAGAGAGAGGAGGAGAGGGTAGAGGGACCTCTCTCTGCCCTTCTGCCCATGCCCTCCTGTGTCAGCACAGCATCCAGGGCGATCCTTCACGCGGAAATCAGTTCACATTACTTCTCTGCTCTGTGTTCACTCAGATGAAAAGCCCATGTCCTTACAATAGCCTCAGGGTTCTCCGTGTTTGTCTCCTCCTGGCTCTGCACCAGGCACTCGGGTCCTACTGCTACTCTGCAAACAGGCCAGGCACATCCTCATCCCTAAGGGATTATGCTACAGTGCTCTGTCTCCCTGGAACCTTTTCCTCTGGATACTGCTGGGGTCATAACCTCACCATCCTCACCTCCTCAGCAGGGCTCTCCCCGACCTCTTCCAACAACTGCCTGCTGCTCCTGGCTCTCCTTCAGCTGGAACGTACTCCAGCCTCCTTTCTCCCTTAGCACTCACCCGCAGCAATCATACCCCTTACTTTACTTGTTTTTGATGGTTTTTATTTGGTCTGTCTCCCCTGACTAGAATAAGGTCTTCCCAAGGACAAAGATCTCTGCCTATTTTGTTTGCCGATATATACCAAGTGCTTAGAACAATGCCTGGCACAGAGTAGATGCTTCACATATATTTGTGGTACAAATGAGAAAATCTGCTCTTAGAGGGAGGAACCCATGTAATCATCACAAAATAACCTACATGAGTCCAAGGCCACTGAAGAACCATTACAGTCAATTACAACCATTACAGTAATTCCTTTGCCTATTTTTAAATTGAGTTATTTGTCTTTTTATTATTGAATTGTAAGAGGTTTTTTTGTTTTGTTTTGTTTTGTTTTACATATTCTGGATACAAGGCATTTATCAGACATGATTTACAAATATTTTCTCCAACTCTGTGGGTTTTTTCTCAATTTCTTGATAGTATCCTTTAAAGCATAATATTTTTTAGTTTTGATGAAAACTTGGAGGAAAGTTTTCTATTTTTTTCATTGGCCCCATGACTCATTAGATACAGTGTCTTATTTATCCTGACAAGAAAAGGCAGGTGATGGCAGAGAGGACAAAAGAAAAAAATGACAATTTATAGCTCATATTAATTATAAAATTATTTAGAGAAATGCCTTTCACTAGACAGTATAATTCCTGTTGGTGGATACAAGCCAAATATGAGTCACATCCAAGTCACCATCTAGTCCATTTAGCTGGGTGGATCTAAGAGACAGTAATAGAGATTATTCTAGAAGACAGCAATTAGTGTTTATGCCACTTAAAATGATTTATAAATTGCTTAAGCATATCTAGCAAAACTAAATGGTGCATTTTAAATCAGCTTCATATAAAAGCAACACTCTGTGGAATGACTTCTGAACTAGAAAAAAATTTGTCCTTCAGAGCTAGTGTCTCAGAGTACACAGGCTAGAGAGATTGCTCTGTGTAAAGAATCATCCTATTTACTCCAGAAGTTTGCATTTGATTCATATGTGCACATTCCAAGGTACATAGGATCCAGGTTCATCTCTCGGAATCTAGAATAAAAACAAATTTGCATGTTTGCAACTTGGAAAACACTTGTGACTTAGGTGAAAACTAGCAGAACATAAAGTAGGTTAAAACCCACTAGAGGGTAACCAGGTCCATGGGAGGCCAGGGAACCACAGAATGTGAAGGGTGGGGGG